CGTCTTTACAATATTCTTCATGGATTATTTCATGCTGCACGTTGGATTTAAACAGGATCGATGTGCCCCGGCTGTTTGATGAGCCACAAGAATGATAACCTTTCCCTCTCCAGAGGTGGTTAAAGTTGTGAACTGTTTGTGTTGTCAAGTGTGTATCTTGCAATAGCAATATATCATAATCTTTCTTTCGCAGATAATTAACAACGTCTCTTCTTTTAACTTGACCTCCTACACTGTAAACCAAATCTACAAGTTGGCTCCTTGTTACAAGTTTGGTTCCAATTCGCATAGGCGTCACCTTGTCGATTCACCAGCCCCAGGCTTGTTGGCTAACAAACTAACAGTTTGTCTACAAGTTTGGTTCCAATTCGCATAGGCGTCACCTTGTCGATTCACCAGCCCCAGGCTTGTTGGCCAACAAACTAACAGTTTGTCTACAAGTTTGGTTCCAATTCGCATAGGCGTCACCTTGTCGATTCACCAACCCCAGGCGTGTTGGCCAACAAACTAACAGTTTGTCTACAAGTTTGGTTCCAATTCGCATAGGCGTCACCTTGTTGAGTACTAGTCTGGGCCTTGTGAACCTACCAACTTCTGGATAGGCATAGCCGTTTCCTTGTCGGTTCAACAACCCCTGGTTTGTTGATGAACTAGCCTTTGACTGGGCATTGCTAGTTTACAAATTGTCAACAAGTAAGTGTACTAACGCTCAGTTCGAACTTGTTCTTTCTTACAATCGCTTTGTTTGCGTTGATAACCTTAAGAACTTACGATTCGCGTTCGTTTTCAATTGCCACGATACTGATTCAGGAAATATTTTCTATACGGACAGGTCATTTTTTGGCTGGAAGTGGTGCACAAAATCATGACTGGCATCAGTTATTGCTCAAAGGCTTGCGCTGACAAGAAACGAAATACTGATGGGTTATATAATCGATGAATGCATACACCACATCCATTCGGAAGTTTCTGGAATCATTAGTATTTATTACGGTCACGTACCTACATCACGTAGTATGTAATTAATACTATTGACTGGAGACAATTCCAAGTGCATATTTTCGAATGGATGTGGTAAATGCATGAGGTATAAGGTATACCTATCGTGCACCGTCAGCATATAAGTCTTTGAAGCAAGAACTGCTGCGTATGTGGAAGAACATGGTTTTGTGCATCGCATCAAGCCAGAAGTATAACATGCCCGTATGACGAATATTTCCACATTGACCATAACAATCATGGCAGTTGCACGATCACGCAGATAATTCGAATAAAGCATGATCGCCAACCAGATTAGCTTTTACAGCCCATATATGTCCATCAGTTAAGTTAAAAATACAAAGAGTTGAATTAAAGGCAAATAAATGTATTTATATATAAAAAACACCGACCGCAAAACATCTGCTCACATGTGCATGCAAAGGTCTGGCCCACTTACATTGCGCGCGCAGGGGAAGGGAGGCGTCTCGACCGCGGGTATAGGCACGATTAGTGCGTCCCGCAGGCCAGAGCGGGCCTCACTCACAGCACGAACACCACAGTTCACAGATTTCACTTTTTACTGCACAAATGCTGGAACAGCCCTCGTCGCTGATCCATGCTGCACGGCGGCCGCGCGACAACTGCTGGTTTGAACGGTTTGAAACCGTCGCGCCCAAGGCTATAGAACTCCGCGGTCGCGCCGGGGCCGGACGGCGACCGCTGATTGGTCCGCCAAGTCTGACGTCACGGGCGCAGCTGACCATGTGTATGCCGACCAGCTGACCAGTACAAGTTAGGCGCCGGTTAAATAACCATGCGGCAACAAGTTTCCAAAACTGGTTAAGAAACAAACGTTGAAACAAATGTAGAGTTGGTCTGGATACTGAGAAGTTGGTGTGCATAGTAACTATTGACTCGTAGTTGTCACCTGACAAGCAATGCACCAGACAACGGCTTGTTTGAAAAGTATCAGTTGGTAAACATACCAAGAGATGATTGGTTATATTACACAAGACTTGTCAATTTGGTTTACAGTGTAGGCCTCTACAATTAAATGTCGCAACTTTGAGCTCGGACATAAGCCAGGATATACACAGCTAGACAGCTGTTGCTATGAACGGTAGGAGATACATCAAAAGAAAATAGTTGACCGTGAACTAATATGGCGCGCACAGGGCCACGGGCAGGAGGGGCCACCCGACTAGGCCGGCAGCGACAAATCCAGGTTGCACGAGGGGCGCTCGGCCAGGGGCCGACGCCGACTCTCTCACCGCCCATCACGTTGTCTCCCTCCACACCTCCGCGCCCAGGAGCCACAGCGCAGACCCCGCCGCCGCCGCCGCCGCCACCGCCGCCGCCACCGCCGCCGCCGCAAACGCCGCGCCCGCCACCGGCAGGCTGGACGACAAACCGCTTTAACATAGAAAGTTTATGCCAGTTACTAACAAAAATATCAAAGAAATCAGTTAACAAACACAGCTGAGGGGTACGCGAGCGGTAATTTAGCGACGCATACAGCATGATAAGCAAAACACTTACGATGAAAGCTAGTGCAAGAAACACGGATTTTCCTGACTTAAGTCTATCGAATAAGATGCTCTCAAAACATTTCATAAAGAAAAACAGAACGGGAACATTGTGTATGTTCAAATATGAAAAACAGCAAAACAGGGTAACTGTTAGAGCGATCATTACACTGATTATGCCCGACTCTTCTCTCTAGAAATACTCCCTGATATCTCTGGAACGCGAACCAGCTGCCGGGTTACCAGGAGCGGCAGGGTGCGCCTCACGAGCTCCGTACGACCGGTCCTTACCAGCAGGACCGCGCCCCGATCCGGTCCTGCTCGACCCGACAGTGGCGACATCTGTAGCCGGCCGAGAGCTCGCACTCGCCGCCCCTCGATGGTCCCCATCCCCATCAGAATCCCGCGCCACCCCAGCAGGTCCACCAGTCTCTGACGTCACAGCCAAGGGCGTGTCCGATGCGGCGGCAGCGGGGGGCCGCCGCGGCGCGCGGCCGCCATCAGCCGCGTCGGTCAGCAGCTCAGCAGGTGCGCCCGGAGACGGCACCTCACGGAGCGGCGGAGACAGCTGCACCAGTCGAACCGATGGTGTCTGGGCGCACTCCAGAAGCGACGATGTGGTCCTCTGACGTTGCACTCCGATGGAATCTGCTGATTCCAGTCCGTCAGCAGCCCCCACACGTGACGGCCCGGAGTACGAACCCCGACGACCCGGACTGTTAGTATCCACGGGATCATGCGTCTCCACCGCCATGTTGTTGTCGGTGCTTCGAGGCGAGGTCGCTGCCCGCCCCGAACTTCTCCGCTCCCCGCTAGGGGCGGCGCACGGCGGTGCTGCTCCGCGCTCTCCCTGGGCGCGCCTCTGGTCGGGGCGCTCCGGTGGGTCACCGCCGGCGAGCTGGCGTACCGCCTCCGGGTCAGCGATACGTATCGGTGCCGATCCACGTGACCGGCACACGAGGATATCTCCAGAACGGGTAAAAACCGAATGGATCCTTCCCTCCTTCTTCATTCGCAGCAGCTCCAAAAACATGGCCTGCCTGCGTGGCGTCAGTGATTCGGCGATAAAGAGGCCGGAACCCTTCAGCCTTGCCTTCGACCGGAAAAGGATGTCTCTGTCGGAACCTGTTGCAAAGGAGGTAAACTCCAGCAGTATCTTTCCATTCTGCAGTCTTATGACGGTCTTGACCTGCCTGTCGTCCAGAGTGTGGTTCAGATACTGTTGCACCACGGACCGAATCTGTCTCACTGCCTGGTCCCGCTGGGTGTGCGTCTGAACCGCCGGCCCGGAGAAAAACAGGCACGCCAGCCTCTGCTCCTGCTGTCGCTTATCCTCCACCAGTTCCAGCTCCTGAACTCGCCGTCTGAGGTGGGCTGTCTCCTTACGCAGTTGGACAATGTCCAGATCAGCGGAATACTGCCTGTTAGACACCGCAGTGATCGAGTCCATTGTGAAAGACAGTGACTCCTCGTTCGCCACTAAGCGTCCGTCACTCGCGGCCTTTATCTCACGAACACATTTTGCATTTTCTTCCACGATGAATTTCTTCAACTCTTCGCAAAGCTCACTTTGTCCTCCTTCTGTTGGAGAACACGCCTTTCGCTTTTTGGTCATGGTTAGACCCACAAGCGACTCACGCTACACAAAAACACTAGCTGGCCAGGTGCTCTCGCTCCACCAGCCGCGCGTGCGGACGGGGCGGCCGCAAACACGTCCGGCCGGGTCAAGGTCGACCGGTCAACTGACAATTCTAGACCTCGTAGAGCAAAACTAAGACCACCATTAGACTCACCGTGACGAGCTGCATCGAATCGATACCCATTTTATGCAAAAATATCAACTTTGAAATTTGACCTCATTTGACCTGACCTTCACCAAAACGTGACCTAGGCTGGCCCCAAAGGCTGCCAAACCCACATAATCGCATTTGTCATGTAAAATGGACCATAAAACATGTATCACACGACACTTTCATATTGTGACCCCGGTGACCTGACCTCGCTGTGACCTGACCTGGTATCAGTGACCTCAGATAGCAAAGTATGTGTTTGACGAACATTGTACCATCGATGGTTTTCAATAAATTATCAATTTACCCGATTTTACAACACATTTCTTGAAATGCCTGTGAACGCTGAAATTCTGACCTTTGACCTGACCTGTGACGTCATCGGTTTGACCTAGGTCAATGAAATCGGGTCACAAGGTAGTTCCCCAGTGGGACTATCGAACGCCGTTTTAATTTTGAAAATCGGCCGGTAAATTTCCGAGATCTTAGGGGGGCCGAAACGCACCCCCCCCCCCCCCCTACGGGTGGTGAGGTCCGCCGATAGCCCTACGGGGCGCGGGTTAATGTCGAGTTGAAATATTTGACGTCATCAAATATACCTATGCATTTGTGGTTTCTTAACATAATTTCCCGAATTACGAAAAAAAGCGTTAAATGCAACATGAAACCCAATGAAGCTGATACAGGCCGGGCGGTGCCTTACCATGCTGTAGCGGGAGTTTCCGTAGTCGCACACCATGCCCAACGGAGTCTCGGCTCTGGGGCTGAAGGTGCACCCACTCGGCGCCGTCACAGTCGCCTCTGTTGAACAGCGCTGTACGTAGAGAACCGCCCCTGCTACCAGGAGTGCCACCTTCCAGCCGCCGTGTGCCGGCATAGTGGTAGTAACACCGCGGTCAGGTTTTTGAGCTTGTCCGACGAAAATCTGACGTCCAGCTCCGGGCCAAGACTGGCTGGAGGGGTGAGATTTGACCGGGAGCGATGCTGGCCGAAACTCTGGTGCAGAATGACTAAAACGCATGACTCAAGTTTGCCCCTTCACCCGGACATTGCTATCATGGTTTCTGGTGAACAAAGGGCCAGTGTCAACAGACTCGCCATCCGGGGACAGAATAAGACGAGATAGCGGAGCGGCCGGACGCGAGCTGCGCAGCGGTTCCTTGCTCTCGCGGGACAATAAACGCGATGAGAACGCGATGTACTGGAGTACGCAATGTACATACTTGTGCAGAAACGACGGCTCCAGCCTCCAACGGTCAACACGATCCTTCATTCTGTAAGGATTTGCAAGGGTACGGATTAAGATATGTTGCAATGAAAGAAAATATAATTTGCTAAATTGTTCGTCTAGTATGACAAGAGTGATTATTTCGCAAAAACGTAAGCGTTTTCCTTCTGTTGCCAAATTGGACGGACAGTTTCGTCAATAATGGCGTCAAAAGTGATTCGAGCACCTTGCGTACTTGTGCTGTGCTTTGCGAATGACTGATAACCTAGCCTTCGCGTTATTCTTAGTTTTGTCGAAATGAGAATGGCTCAGTCACAGTGAGATGAGCAGTGAGCACTGTGTTGGCAACCGTTCTGTGGTTATCCGTCCCTCCAGCGGTGCGCTGTCCAGTATAAGTTTCAGATGAAGTTTCGGTTCGACGTTTGGTCAGGGACAGTCGTTCTGTGACGACGCTTTACGATAGATTGTAAAAGGGGCGTTCCACGACAAATCGACAAGTGCCCTGCACCCTCATATTTTATTTTTTGCTTAAAATTGGTCTAATGGGTTGTGATGGGCGGGGAAGCCGGCTGTGACAAGGGTTTTTTTTCTTCGAACAACGGTTTTCGAGATATAGTCTCGGGCAATTCCTGGAGGTCGCGCTGCAGCCCTATGTTTGGCGGCCTATAACTCAAAAACTATTGGTTTTCTACGATAAAAACTTTATATGGTTCAACTCACAATCAGCCAACAAACATTTTGGCTATCTCGGATTTTCAATTTTTGAAAATTTTGATCACGTGACATTTTGACATATTTTTCGAAGAGTGACCTTGATATTTTCCCCACTGAAAGTTGCAATTTTGTCTGATGACGATTAAAGCCTTATCAATTGTCATTCATATGCGAAAATAAAAAAAGTGGATATCGCCCTGCGTTGACCTCAGGTCAGGTCATTTTTATGACCTGTCCATTATTACGAGCGGGAGCGACAGCGAGATCTCGAGAATAAAGCAAGATAGCGACAAGCGGTAAACGGTGCAGGGTACACACGGATAAGGTCTATAATTTTTACTGAGGTCATTTTCAGGTCAGGTCAAAGATGACGTCACAGGAGCAAAAAGGAAGTCGAAATTGCGGCACTACATATATATGAAGTTTTTCTCGAATAACTTTCAAGGTATCCCAGCTAGGAACGAACTAATATCACCATCGTGATCCTCTCGTCGATCCGCATCGAAACATATGTATGTTGACCTCGAAAGGTCGAAAGGTCAAAAGTTGACCTTAGGTCACGTGACCTAAGGTCAACTTTTGACCTTTCGACCTTTCGAGGTCAACATACATATCTTTCGATGCGGATTGACGAGAGGATCACGATGGTGCTATTAGTTTGTTCCTAGCTGGGATACCTTGAAAGTTATTCGAGAAAAACTTCATATATATGTAGTGCCGCAATTTCGACTTCCTTTTTGCTCCTGTGACGTCATCTTTGATCTGACCTGAAAATGACCTCAGTAAAAATTATAGACATTATCCGTGTGTACCCTGCACCGTTTACCGCTTGTCGCTATCTTGCTTTATTCTCGAGATCTTGCTGTCGCTCCCGCTCGTCACGTGACCTAAGGTCAACTTTTGACCTTTCGACCTTTCGAGGTCAACATACATATGTTTCGATGCGGATCGACGAGAGGATGACGATGGTGATATTAGTTTGTTCCTAGCTTGGATACCCTGAATGTTATTCGAGAAAAACTTCATATATATGTAGTGCCGCAATTTTGACTTCCTTTTTGCTCCTGTGACGTCATCTTTGACCTGACCTGAAAATGACCTCAGTAAAAATTATAGACCTTATCCGTGTGTACCCTGCACCGTTTACCGCTTGTCGCTATCTTGCTTTATTCTCGAGATCTCGCTGTCGCTCCCGCTCGTAATAATGGACAGGTCATAAAAATGACCTGACCTGAGGTCAACGCAGGGCGATATCCACTTTTTTTATTTTCGCATATGAATGAAAATTGATAAGCCTTTAATCGTCATCAGACAAAATTGCAACTTTCAGTGGGGAAAATATCAAGGTCACTCTTCGAAAAATAGGTCAAAAGGTCACGTTATCAAAATTTTCAAAAAATGAAAATCCGAGATAGCCAAAATGTTTGTTGGCTGATTGTGAGTTGAACCATATAAAGTTTTTATCGTAGAAAACCAATAGTTTTTGAGTTATAGGCCGCCAAACATAGGGCTGCAGCGCGACCTCCAGGAATTGCCCGAGGCTATATCTCGGAAACCGTTGTTCGGAGAAAAAAATCCTTGCCACAGCTCGCTTCCCCACCCATCACAACCCCTTACACCAGTTGTCAACGAAAAATAAAATATGAGGGTGCAAATTTAATTTTTTATTTGTCGATTTGTCGTGGAACGCCCCAAAAGTTACCACCTCGTAGCCGACTACGGCCGCCAACTCCCCAACTGGTCCACGCGAAAGTGGTGCCGGCAACGGCAAGTGGCGGTAGTAAACGGGTGTGTAAACGGGATACCGGAGACAGTAAACAGCTGGAGTGGACGTTAGTGAATGATCTAGAGTTATTAGCGAACTGAATGTCAGTCGTCAGATGCCGGGCTGCAGCGAACTGCAAAAAGTTGGCGGCCCAGTTTTCAGTCAGTATACTTTTAGACGGCAGTAGCAGCTATTTAGCCAGCCTGCGGCTGTGTCCGTTCCGCCCCAGCCGTTTCGGTCAGCAATGCGCGGTCATTTTTTCGCCGACGGTTCTACACCAGTGGTATGTAGCCATTCCATTCCATTCCGGAATTCTTTCTCAATGTCTCTCTGTCTGTCTGTCTCCTCTCTGCTTTTTATCTGTCCTGCCTGTCCTCTCTGTCCTCTCTGTTATGTTTGTCCGTCTGTCCATCTGTCTGTCTGTCTGTCTGTCTGTCTGTATGTCTGTCTGTCTGTCTGTCTTTCCGTCTGACCGTCTGTCTGTCTGTCTGACCGTCCGTCCGTCTGTCTGTCTGTCTGTCTGTCTGTCTGTCTGTCTGTCCGTCCGTCCGTCCGTCCGTCCGTCCGTCCGTCCGTCTGTCTGTCGTCTGTTTTTCCTCTCCCTCCCTCTCTTTTCTCGCTCCCCTTCTCAGCAGGATGTGGTCATTCCTTACCAATCTGCTCTCCACAGCACTGCGAGCGGATATTTCCCAGGTCAGGTCAGGCCCTCCTCAGCGGTATGCGATCATTCCAAGCCGGCCTTCTCTCCCCAGCAGTGGTATAGCCCGCCCTCGGGGGACACATATACCCCACAGCCACCCGGAGACACATTATGCACACGGTCACGTTCGCCGTCTGTGGCAGACCCGTCAGTGGGACCATTTAGCGTCGGGCACGGTCAGAGGAGGGGAGCAGACGCGACTCCTCTGGCGCCGCAGCCTCCGGTCCGTAATCGCGCATATGCAGGCCGCGTCGGCAGGCGCGGCGAATCAAAGGAATCCTCCCGCGGCCAGCGACGTTGTTTTTTGTGGGACAGTTTTGAAGAGCTTGAGCTGCGCAGAAAGTATTCCCTAATGTACAAAATGCATACATTTGGATTACATTCATGTATAGACCTTTTTTCTTCTTCTTCGTTTGGTTGAATGGAAGTCTACGTATGTAAGTAACAAATGTTTTCGTGAAAAGGATTTGAACGTAGGCTACATTTTCAATGAAACTTTTTCCAATGGCCATACACATTACAAAGAAAGGTAACACTGGTCTGCGTGATTTATAAGGTCAATGGTTTCTCAACTGTTTATAGGTCAGCTTTTCACGCTGATTCCGGAAATGGAATCCGTTTTGCTCGATTAGCTCGATTTTTTAAGATACATTGTTTTGCCCATATTAACAAAGCCATGCTGATTGGCTTAGTATAGTTAATCACACAGAAACGTATATATGTTTTAACTGCAAACTGACCCACTATGAGTGAATTCCGATCACAGTACACACAAACTGCTGCGACGCAAATGGGCTTTTCACGGATTTCCAACTGTGTTGAGCACATGGGACGTCCCTCTTCAAGCACCAGCAATAGTCCGCCAGGAAGTTGACGTCCCACCGACCCTCGTACCGTTTTTCCATCAAACGTATGTCTTTGTGGAAACATTCTACCTGCCCTTCACTATAATCACTAGTTTTCTGGGAAACAATCGAGATGGGACCTAAAAAAGTTCAAAGTGTATCAGTATGCCCACTCCAATGTGCATATTAATGCATCGGTGTGTATCCTTGACATAGTGTGGAAACTCGAGCTAATCGAGAAAAAATGGATACCTTTTCCGAATTCGGCACACAAAACTTGCATTAGAACAGTTGAGAAATCTTCAATCTTGGAGAAAAATGTGTCAGCATGCCCACTCCAATATACATACTAATATATCAGTGTGTGAGCTGTTATCCTTGACATAGTGTGTAAACTGGAGCTAATCGAGAAAAATGGATAGCTTTTTTGGATTCAGCACACGAAACTTGTATTATAGAACAGCTGAGAAATATCCAACTTTGGGGAACAATGTATCAGTATGCCCACTCCAAGATGCATATTAATACATCAGTGTGTGAGCTTTTATCATTGACATAGTGTGAAAACTCGAACTAATCTACAAAAAATGGATAGCTTTTTTGAATTCAGCACACGGAACTTGTATTAGAATAGTTGAGAAATATCCAACCTTTTGGAAAATATATCAGCATGCCCACTCCAATGTGCATATTAATGCATCAGTGTGTGAACTTTTATCCTTGACATAGTTTGAAAACTCGAGCTAATCGAGAA